CTTCTTGGATCAACTGTCAACACTCATGGAAGCAGCAGTCAAGAAATCAAATGATGTACTGCATTAGGCATATCTGCTGCACAAGACCTTTTTAAAGTGTTGAAGAGCAAAGATATTAGGTTGAGGACTAAGGTGCACCTGACCCAAGCCATGGTATTTTCATAACTTCATATGCATGCACTGGACAGTGAATAAGGAAAACCATAGAAGAATTGATGCTTTTGAGTTATGGTGTTGGAAGAGAATATTGAATGTGCCATGGACTGCCAAAAGAACAAATAGATTTGTGTTGGAAGAATGTGCAGCCAGAGTGCTCCTTGGAAACCAGGATGGCCAAATTTCATCTCTCCTACTTTGGACATATTGTCAGGAGGGACCAGTCGCTAAAGAAGGATATCATGTTTGGTAAGGTGGAGGGTCAGAGAAAAAAAGGAAGACCCCCCCAGCAAGATGGATTGGCAAAGTGTCAGCAGCAATGAGCTCAAGCATGGCAACAATTGTGAGGTTAGTTCAGGATTGGGCAGTGCTTCATTCTGTTGTGCATAGGGTTGCTATGAGTCGGTGCCGACTTGATGGCACCTAACAACAACAAACTATCACACAGATAACAACTGGTGTACTTGGAAAATTATTTTACATGACTCTTTTTAGATTTTCCTAGCTTTTTATCCAGCACTAGTCAGTCAGTTTGTTGTACTGTGGTGGCTTGAGTTGCTATGATGCTGGAAGTTATCCCACCATATTTTTAATGCCAACAGTGTCACCTTTGGTGAACAGGTTTCAGCTGAACTTCCATACTAAAACAGACTAAGGAAAAGTAGAGTCAGACTACTTCTGAGTATTTAGCCCCTTAACATCTTATGAATAACAGTGGAACACTGTCAGATAACACCAGAATATTGAAGAGTGAAACAGGATGATTAGCAGCAAAATATTATCAGATATAGTGTCAGAAGGTGAACCCCCTTAGGATGTAAGACACTCAAAATATGACCAGGGAAGAGTTGACTGTGATGACACAAATGGTGCAAAGTTTATGGGATCTTCATTTGTGCATGGGACACAACTAAAAATAATGAGAAATATATGTAAACATCCATTAATAATCAGAACACAAAATGTTCAAAGTATGAATCTAAGAAAATCGGAAAAATTAAAAAATGAAATGGAATCCTTATATACTGATATCCTAGGCATTAGTGAGTTTAAAGGGACTGACATTCGTCATTTTGAATCTGATAATCACATGATTTACTATGCTGGAGATAACAAATTAAAGAGGAATGGCATCACATTCATCATCAAAAACAACTTTCCAAGATCTATCTTAAAGTATATTGTTGTATTTGATAGAATAATATCCATATTCCTACAAAGAACACCAATTAATAACACTATTATTCAAATGTATGCACTAATCACTAATGCCTGTGGTGATGAAATTCTTCAGTCTGAAATTCACCAACCTTGCAATCAAGATGTATGGATAATTACTGGTAATTGGAACACAAAGTCTTGGAAAAGTGGAGAAGGATCAGTAGTTGGAAAATATGGCATTCATAATAGAAATTATACTGGAGGTATAATTTTGTAAAACAAATGACTTCTTCATTGTAAACATCTTTTAAAAATAATATAAAAGAAGACTATCCACATTAGAATACCCACATTTAAATAATATAGAATGTCCACATTTAAAATAATATAAAAGACTATCCAGATAGAATACCCAGAAATCAAATTGATTACATCTATGGAAAGAGACCAGGGAAAAGCTCCAAATTATCAGCCAAAATGAGAATAGGGGCACAAGACCATGAATTGCTCATATGCATGTTCAGGCTGAAGCTGAAGAAAATTGAAACAAGTCCATGAGAACAAAAATATGATCTTGAACATATACCACCTGAATTTAGAGATCATCCCAAGAACAGACTTGAAGTGTTAAAGGATAACATCAAGAGCATCAAATAGGAAGAAAGCAAAAGATAATAAAAGCAAAAGATAATTGAGAAGACAAGAAAGTAGAAGATGAAAACAGGTGTCAGAAGAGACTCTAAAATTTGCTCTCTAGTGTTAAGATGTTAAAGCAAATGGACAATATGGTGAGGTAAAAGAGCAGAACAGAAAATGTCAAAGAGCACCTAAAGAAGACAAAGTCAAATACTATAATGAAATGTGCAAAGACCTGGAGTTAGAAAATCAGAAGAAAAGAATACGCTCAGCATTTCTTGACCTGAAAGAACTGGGAAACATTTTTAAGCCTTGACTTTCAGTATTGAAGGATTCTATGGGCAACAAATCAGAGTCCTGGTATGGCACTGTGGGCTAATGTGTCAGACTGTAAAGTCATTTGCACTGCAATGTCAGTGGTTCAAGCTCACCAGCTGCTCCTTGGAAACCCTATACAGGGTTGCTATGGGTCAGAATCGACTCAATGGCACTTAACAACAACAACAACAACAGGCAAAATACAGAATGATGTAGAAAGCATCAAAAGAAGATGCAATGAATACACAGAGTCATTCTACCAAAAAAAAAAAATTGTTGATCTTCAACCATTTCAAGAGATAGCACATGATCAAAAGTAAATGATATTGAAGGAAGAATTCCAAGATTCACTGAAGGCACTGGTAAAGAACGAGGTTCCAGGAATTGATGGAATACAAATAAAAAAAATCTTCCAGAAAACTAATGTAGTACTGTAGATACTCTCTCCTCTATGCCAATAAATTTTAAGACAGCTACCTGACCAACTGGCTGGAAAATATCCACATTTGTGCCCATTCCCAAAAGAGATGACCCAACAGAATGGGGGAATGAATCACCAAGCAATATCACTGATATCACATTCAAATAAAATTTTGCTAAATATAATTTAAAAATGACTGCATTGGTACATTGACAGAGATTGCTAGAGGTTCAAGAGGAGGATTGGAATGAGGGATGTAATTGCTGACATCAGATTGATCTTGGTTGAATGCAGAGAATGTTTTCCTGCGCTTTATTGCCTGCACAAATGTTTTCAACTGTGTGGAAACAATGATTGTGAAGTTGGCACAGGACCAGGCAGTGTTTCTCATTCTCTTGTGCATAAGGTTGCTATGAATCAGAACTGACTCGATGGCACCTAACACCACCACCAACAACAAAGTCATTTGCCTGGAGAGTCTTTCCACATTGTGGCACAAATAGTGATCTCACCAAGTGGAATTCAGGGAGGTTGAGGTGCTGGAGGAAAGCCTCGTAGTGCAATGGCTAAGCATGGGGCTGGGAATTACAAGTTTGTAAGTTCAAATCCCCCAACTGTTCCACAGGAGAAAGATGATGTCTGTTATGAAAATTTATGGTCTTGGAAAACCCAGGAAGAAGTTCTATTCAGTGCTATAGGTTTCTATAAATTAGAATTCACTTGATGGCAGTGTTTTTTTTTTTGAGTTGAAGGTGGTATAATCTTCAGGACAAGGTACCAACAAGAAAAGTACTCCACAAAGTCTTCCTGGAGTCTTTCTTTGCTTGACTACTGAATTATAAAGTTTATGGTTGAGTTTTTCCCTAGAGTCACCAAAGATGGCAGTTTGAGAACTAAGATGTGCCTGACCCAAGCCATGGTGTTTTCAATAGCTTCATATACATGTGAAAGTTGAATATTTAATAGGGAAGACTGTGGAAGAATTGATGTATTTGAGTTATTGTAATGAGGAAGGATATTAAAGGACTATGGACTGCTAGAATGAAAAACAGCTCTGTGAAGAAGTACAGCCAGAATTCTTCTTAGAAGTTAGGATGGCAAGACTTCGTCTCTCAAACTTCTGAGATATTATCAGGTAAGACCAGTCCCTAGAGAAGGACATCATACTTGCTGGAGTGGGGGTCAGTGAAACACAGAAAGACTCCTAACAAGATGGATTGGCACAGTGGCTGCAGCAATGGGTTCAAGCTTAACAATGATTTTGAGGATGGCATAGGACCTGGTATTGTTTCATTCTGTTGTTCATAAATTCACTATGAGTCGGAATCGACTTGGCACTGTAGGGTAAGCACTATATTGTGAACCATCATATTGGTGACTCAAACCCACCAGCTGCTCTTTGGAAACCCCTTATAGTGTCACTATGGGTTGGAATCAACTCAACGACACTTAACAACAACAACAAATGCATTATGATACCATAGATTATATATGATGAATATTTTTTATACTTTAGAATTGAATATTGAAGTCATGTCAACAGAAAAGAGTGGGTCTCAGCAACATTCTAGCTGTATCCATTTAATAACAACATTAATAACTATTTCTAGAATTTACATAGTGTAGACTATGGTTCAGTCTTTCTTTTAAGTGCTTTGTGTTAGTGATTAATGTCAGAATATTATTATACACAAGATTGGCAGTTCAAACCCACCAGCCACCCCACTGGAAAGGATGAGGTTTTCTGCACTCATACAGATTTGCAGCCTCAGAAATGCTGTACAAGGTCATCATGAGTTGGAATCAATTAGATGGCACTGAGTTTGAGTTTAGAGCTAACATCAGTCCTGGAAACATCGGCAAGATGTTGGTTACATAATCTCATTGTACAATGAAAGCTCCTGACATTGACTAAGGTACAAAAGTAGACGTTGATTTTGTGAAATTTGTATTTGAACCTAGTTTGGCTGTAGACTATTCATTCTAGGCTCCATACTTAATTTTATCCAGAAGGAATAGTTTTAAGTTCCCTTGATTTCATCACCACAAGGTTGAAGATATGTTAAGCTAAAAATGGCAGCGTGCAAAATGAAAATAGTCAGTTCTACCAAGTGATACATATTTAGAGGGTATATAAGTATATCCAGAACTTTGTAGAAGTAATTAGAAATAATATAACATATTTTATAAATATTTATAATTTGACTAGTTATGAAAATTAAGGCAATAAATACAAATAATCTATTCTTTAAGTTGTATATAAATATTATTACATACTTATAAGTACATGGTACAAATCCTTCAGGGCTTAAGCCACAGTTTCCAAATCTATCACTCCTAGAATTAATTTCTTCAAAACAGGCCTGAGAACCATATAGAGTACCTGGGAAAAGAATAGAAATATTTAATCATAAGAACTCTAAATCAAATCTTATACTTATCAACAACAACAAAATGTGATTGTTGTTGTTGTTAAGTGCCATCCAGGGAGCAGCTTAGGAGCTTGAACCACTGACCTTGCAGTTCAAACAACTTTGCAGTCTGACGCATGAGCCCAGTTTATATTGTTAAATTATTTAAAAAACTCAAACAAAACTCACACTTACTCTGCTTTAAGTAAAATATTTCAATACTTTAAAGTGTTTTTCTCTAATACATGTATGTAATACCTAGAAAGTACTTTAAAAAAATCAACATTATTTTACTATTACTTCATTTCTTCTACTTTCTATTATATTTAAAGTTCATAGAGAAACAAAAGTTTTATTTTTAAAAGTATAAAATTAAACATACATATAGATCTAAACCTACATTTGCATCAATATTTTTATGTATATGTTGTATGTTTTGCATATACATTAGTCTATTGTTTTTCTCAAGAAAAATTTTCTTAGATCAAAAATGTTACAGTCAATTTTGACACTTACATCTGATATATAATTCATCTGAAAATCTTTCTTGTTTGATTTTATTGAAAATATTTTTAATGTACTCTCAAATTAAGTATAAAAACCAAAATCTACTTCTCAGAAACTCCATGCACCCCATTTAAAAACTATGACATTATTCACAATAGTCAAAAGTCAGAGCAACTTAAATTTCCATCAACAGATGAATAAACATAAGCGTGATACATAAATAAAACGTAGTATTACTTTACAATAAATAGAAATAAAGTCCTGATACTTGTAACAACATGGATTGACCTTGAAATAATTATGTTGAGTAAAATAATTTAGTCATAAATGGATACATCTTGTATGAGTCTATTAATAAGAACTAGAATAAATAACTATAACAACGCTAAAGTTTATTGAGGAGCTCTGGTAGCATAGTAGTTACAAATCGGGCTGCTAATCTCATGGTTGGCAGTTTGAAACTATCAGCTGTTCTGCAGGAGGAACCTTTCTGCTCCTGTAAAGATTTGTGCACATGTCCATTTCTCTCTCTCTCATTTTAATTATAGCCATATTTACATTTCTGCACATTTCAATTTTTATAATCATTGTTATTTGTCTTATATAACCAATAATTGGGGCTCCTCATGTGGCACTATAGGATCAGCACTGGACTGTGAACCACAAGTTGGTAGTTCAAGTCCACCAGCTGCTCCTTGGAAACCATAATCATAGTCGCTTTTAGTCGGAACCGACGTGATGGCACTTAACAACAACAATCAATAATTTTGTAGATAATAATCTACAGAGTAAGATCATTGCATCTAGGTCTGAGTTTTTGTATCCAAAAATTCAAATTATTATGATTTTGAATTTCATCCTTTTATTATTTGTAGAAAGAATACAATATTTTGTTTCCAGTATAGTTCTAAAAATTAAAGAAAACAATCCCCATGGGTGTATATTATCTGTTTCAATAATCCGTTAAATATATCTGCATTTAATCATTTTGTGAAGTCCTTGTGTGGTGCTATAGCATAAGCACTGGACTGCTAACTGCAAGGTCAATAGTTCAAACCAAACCATGCACTCCTTAAAAACCAAAATATGGTCTTTAGGAGTCGGTACTAACCCTTACAGCACTTAACAACAATCCAATTCATAATTTGATATATTATTTAAAGTATTTAATTTATTATCCGTATGGAAATTACTTTTCACTATTCAATAAAATGAATAAATAGTGTAATAGAAATGCAATTGTAACACATACCTTGTCCATAGATATCTTCACAAATCCTAGTTCCATCCCTACATTTTCCTTCCATACAGACCCATTGATTCTTGTTGCATCTGTAGCCATTATGAAGATAGAAGTTCTCCGGACAAAAATTGGAGGACCCATTGCAATATTCAACGAGATCACATTCATCCTCTGGTAACCTACATATTTCTCCTTTTGCTCTTAACTGAGTAAATGAAGAAAACAATACTAAATAAAACAGGATGAAGTTATAGGCATGGCAAGGAATATAATTGCTTAAATTGTAAAGTTACTATAGAAATAACAGCGTTCTTACTTTACATTGAGTGCAGCAGGATCCATGAGCACAAACTGCATTTTCTCTTAATCTACACGTTTTATAGTCACAGCATGGATTGCTTCTGCACTCCTGAAATGAAAATTAATAAACTATACATTTGCTTGTTTCAAATACAATTTGCTAATGATGATAAAAATATAAAATACTTGCTTAATAATCATTCTGATGAAAAAATTTTTAAGTTCCGTTTTTTTTTTTTCTTTTTATGAGTTTAGTCAGCAAATAGTTATTTAATTTCTAAAGTAGATTTGAGCACATTGGAATCACATTTTTTTTTTTTTTCTAAACCATACCCATCTATTATGCCACTATGGCCTAGGCATGAAGATCAACCTTTGATTCTTCTTGATATGGCCAGAATCAAATCAAGGCACAATAAAAGAGAAGATATATGCTTTTTAATATTATTGTGATATTATTGCTGTTGCTAAGTGTTGTTGACTTGGTTCTGACCGACAGCGACCCTGTATAGGGTTTCCCAGGATCAGCTTGTGTGTTTGAACACTGACCTTGTGGTTCACAGTACAATGCAGATCCTTACAGTGCCACAACAGGCACTGTATTTGAATCCATGCAGATATAACTCAGAACTGACAATTTAGTTCAGAAAGGTCACATCCATGAAATACATCCGTGAAATAAAGTACAATTCTACTCTGCATAAATGGAGTCACCATGAATTAGAATAAACTTCATGATAGCAAGTCTGGCTTAGGATAAGCATAGGTAAACACCAGGCCATTGATTCAAACCTATCAGTTGTTCCTCAGAAACCCTGTATAGGGTTGCTATGAGTTGAAACCAACTCAACAGCATGCAACAACACTTCATCAATTATACTTCTAGGTCTCTAGTATTAGAATTGATTAGAAATGAGGATTTATAGTTTATCTTCAACAACAGGAAATAGTTATTTAATTTTTTATCTCTTATTTATGCTAGATTCTGTAACTGATGCTAAAATTCAGCCATACCACTACTAAGTCTGTTTTTTTGTTTTTGTTTTGTTTTTTTACTTTTTTTTTTTTTAATGCTTCATTGTGAATTATGTGATAGTTTACATGGGAAACCATTAGCTTTATATTCATCTTATCGCATATTGTTTCATTGCCATGGTTACAATTCCCTCCATGAATCATCAACCAACCAAAAGGGTATACCCTGCAAGACTGCCCCCCAGTCATCAGCACACAGCGCCTCTCTCTATCTGGGTCTAGAGTCCCTGGCTGCTCCATTTCTCCACATCGTCATCTCTGCTTTTCTCTCTTGATGGTTCCAGGGACCTCCGTTCCAGGATTGAAAAGTCAATCACTCCCCTTCTTTTGCTACAAAATGCCCACCTTTAGATTTCCAACACTCACAGTCAATCCTGATAATGATTATTCACCATTGTACCACAAGGAGCCTATCCCCATCTCATTTCATTAGCCCCACTCAGACAGATTGGATGCTACTCAGTGAAGATTCTACCTTCCTTCAGGCCCTCTGGATCTAGGCTCCCACTTGAAAGCTTGTAATCCAGTCATTTCTTGCCTTTGTGGCCCCCCCATTTGGATAGCCAGTGTCCAAGTTGCCCTTCGCTATCTACCCAGTGTATAGAGGGGGTGGGAATGATCCTCACTGTAAAGATTTATTCCCTCTTTTGAGCTACTGAATCCATAGGTGTAGGTCAAGTTCATCAAATTGTATCAGATTAGTCTTTTTTTTCTCTTCTTTCTTATTATAGTTGAGCTATGATCATGAAGTCATTGGAGACAGGTCAAGTGGACATTATGTACAAGTGTGGGTGTTCTTATGCCTATATCCTCTCTTCTTATCAGTTGGACACTTCACTCTCCACTCTAGTCCTCTGTGGCTGTGTCACTGACTCTGGGATCAAGAATCTCCAGGTCTTGCCACACTGCTGGCCGACCAGGTCTCCGCCAGGGTTCACAAGATTCTATTGAATATTGTAGGTCTTAGTTTGCAGCTTAATTGCTGTTTTTGCCTTACTTCCCCTTTTCTGTGACGAACATGGTCACCAATCAGAGTATGTTTTCCCATTGAGTCTTAGTCTTAGAAGGGCGTTTGCCCTGAGGGCATCCGACCACTTGCCTTGATGTCTCCTGGGCAAGCAACTTGCTTGTTTTTGTAGTAATCAGTCAGTGTACCTATATTGTTTTGTATTTTTCCTGTCGGCCCTTATTTCAAGAAGTATCTTCTGTTCTTCTAGCCGCTCCAGGCTGGTCTGCTTGTCCTTTCAAGTGAAATCTTCCCATCTCTGAATATTCTGGATGTGGTTCAGGATTCCACCTATGGTCTTATGTAATGCAGAGGCTCCACAGGAAGCCTCCTTCACTGGGCACATTGTAGCTCCATTATAGGTATTTCAATCAGTTACAGGCAGAAGACGGAATTATAAGCTTTCTATGGTGATATTTCTGGCTATTCCTTTCTCTTCCCATCAAGTGTCTATTTTTTAGGAGTATGCCAGGGAAACCAAGATTCCAAAGACAGCCAAGCATCTTAACATTATTTCCCCCCTTTTAGCAATTCCAACCGTGTCTCAATCCCTGTATCCCAGAGCCCTGTTGTTCCAAGGTTGTGCATATATCATTATTTATCTCTGTCCCACTTAGCCCATGAAAACCTACCTAATTGTTTTCCCATCTGCTTTGTTCTTCCATTCCCCTCCCTCTTCTTGTGTATTGCCCCACTCCTTAGCACCCAAACTATCCTGTGTCTATTCCCTGCCCTGTGCTCCACCTTCCCCTCACCTCCTCACCACATCCACCACATAGATTGAATTAAGTATGGTGAAAGGATGCAACCATGGCGTGTTCTTTTCTGCATTTTAATCTATTTAGTTCCCCCCTGTTCTATTCAAGGTCATGGATTACCTGATTGAAAAACTATAAACATTAGTGTTAGCATAGATTACATCAATGATTCTAAAGTGGCAGCAATTTGGAACCCAGAGGATATTTAACAATCTATGGACTTGCCAGTTTATGAGTACTAACAAATGTGATGGCCTTACAACCAGTGGAGGAGTTCTGGTGCTGTGATACAGGATAAGCACTGGACTGCTGATTACAAGGTCATGGTTTAAACCCACCAGCCACTCTTTTGAAAATGCTATTGTTGTTAACTGCTGCTGAATCCATTCTGACTCATAGCCACCCTGTATAGCGTTTCTGAGGAGTGGTTGGTGAGTTTGAACCACCCACCTTGTGGTTCAAACTGATATTGTGGTCCAGTTCTTTATCTCACAGCACCACCCCAGGACTCCTGAAAACACTATATGGGGTCATTATAAGTCAGAATTGACTCAATGGCACTAAACAATAATAACTAAAGAAATACTTATATCTAGTGGTTGCTGTTGTTAAGTGCCGTAGAGTCGATTCCAACTCCTAGCAACCCTGTATCAGGTTTGCAAGGAGTAGCTGGTGGGTTTGAACCAACAACTCTTGTGATGAGTAGTCCAATGTTTATCCTACAGCACCATACCAGGAGTCCTTCATGGTAGTTAGAGTCCAGGAATATAGCTAATCATCCTAGAATGTACAAGACAGCTCTCTTCATCCCCATTTAGCAAATAATTGCTGTTGTAGTGTGCCATAATATTGATTCTGACTCAGAGTGGCCATATAGATCAGAATAGAACTTCTCTGTAGGGATTTCTAGGCAGTTTCTTGTTTTGTTTTTGTTATTCACCCCCTACCTCCCACTGGAGCAGATTGCTACATCCCTCCTCTCCTACTGAGCAACTGGTATCTGGTAGGTTTAAACTGCAGATTTTCATTTAATAGCCAAGCATATAAACACCATACAACTAGGGCTCCTTCAACAAATAATTGTGAATTGCTGCTGAGTTGGTTCCTAGGTGTGATTGGTGGGTTTGAACTGTGAACATTGTGGAAAGCAGTCCAGTACTTGTCCATCTTGACTAGACTCCAACAAACAATTATCTGGCCAAAAATATCGATCGAGTCTATCTGGAGAGTATCTGCATTGCATCCTGACTCTGGTGTTTGTGAATACTGAATTTTCCTAATTGTCTTCATAATTTTTGTTCCCAAAATGTCATTACTCTTAAAGTTGGATTCTAGATGAAAAAGTTATAAGGCAGGGATTGAAGCTCAATTATTGTGTATTTAGTGGAGCTAAGATGCATGCTTGTCATTAAATATTGACATAATACTATAGTTATGTAATGGAAGTCTATTACAAAAATTGCTTCTTATTCAGTACTAACCTCTATACCTCCACAGTCACATTGCTCTCCATCTTCCAAGTGTTTATTACCACAAAATGTAGTCCTGTAAGATGGATCCAGGTGTGGCTGATTTTGAAGACACTGAGAATTTTGCTTTGAAATAAAATGTATAAAGTCGTCCATGCTGCAGCTGCTGAAGATCTTCATACCACTGTAATGACTAGAATTACATTTCACTTCAATTTTTTTCTCTAAGAATTGTTCCATACACTACACACAGCTACCTGAGAGTATTCCAAATCAGATCAAATATTCTATTTTGTTAAATTTCCAAAGAAGTTAACTTAGTTACATTCTGAATTTATGTTAATCTTTAACTCATACCAGTAATGGATAAAATTTCCTCAGTTTGTATCTTACCCTTACCCATAACAATGCTCTCTCTGGGTTTATTTCATACTCCCCAGGTTGCTCTGTTGCTGTTTAATATGCTGATTTTTCCTTTAATTTTGGATTTCTTAATATTGGAACATCTCAGAATTCAGAATTTAAGTCTCTTCTACTTTCTATTTATATTTATATTTATATGTTCACCTCTTTGTAACTTTACCCAGTTCTGTGGCTTAAGGTACTATATCATAACAAAAATGTTCCTTTGCAGTGCAGATCCCCAGGAGTCCAAGTGTGATGCTGTAGGTTAAACACTGGACCACAAGGCCAGTTTGAACTGTAAGGTTGTTGGTTCAAACTCACCAGCCACTCCTCAGAAATCCTATACAGGATCACTAAAAGTCAGAATCACTCAACAACATTTAGCAACAACATTCATAATTTATTTCTGGGATGTCTAATCAATATCTTAAAATTAGCTTGCCCAAAATTGAACTCTTCTCTCCCTTTTCCTCAAAATTTTCCATCCTACAACACAATGTTTTATACTGTAGACAATGGAACCCATCAAATTGCATAAGTTCAAATCTTGTTTTTATCACAAATGTATAGTTTTGAGCAAGTCACTGAAATTGTTGTTCCTCAAAGTTTTCTTTTCCTTAATGTGAGGTGATACTATTATTTAATGAGCTCTGAGAAAGATGAGGTTTTCTGTTCCCATAAAGATTTACAGCCTTGGAAACCCTATGAAGGGCTGCTATGAGTCAGAACCAACTCCAAGGCACACCACCACCACTATTATTTAGTTCATAGATTTGTGGTGATTAAGTTAATGTATGCTACACATTTAGAAGAGTGGTTTTATATAGTGTGCATGTGATAAGAATCTATTTGGCCTTGGTCTAGGACTTAAAAGTTGGAAGAATCTTCCATATTTCTCACATTCTGTATCTAAACATTAGTACATTCTATGAACTCTAATGTTTAACTACAACCAGAATATGGAAACTTTCCTATACCAATAACTAGTTTCTCCAATCATCAACTAGCTACCCTGTATCTAGTCTCTGTACTCAATCAAAAAGCCTCCTTGCCGTCCACTCACTCAGATTGTTGTTACTTGCTATATGCCAAAAAACAATTTTTCAAAAATGATTCCCTTTATTAAAAAGCCACCCAACAGATTAGAAGCTGCCAGACCAAGCTATCACATGACCTTTTACTCTTTTCTCCCTTGATACCTTTACTTTTCTTTTTAGTGTCATTTCTTTGTTTTCTTATGTCCCCATTAGACTATTAACTCCAGAGATTTTCTAGTGCATTTTCAATGTTATATTTCCATTGCCCAAATCTGTGTTAGCACAAAGTAAAGTTCAATAAAATCTTATTAAGTAATAAATAATAACTAAATGAAATAGGTAATATTTAATAATCATTGAGTTTTTGTGTAATAGTTCTTGCTCTTGTGATTAAAATATTTTCAATGTGTATTACAATAAGGATTATTACAATATTGATGCAGTTAATGTTATTATAATTATATATAGTCAATTATCATTATTTTAATTTGTTGTTCTATAAAGTCCCATAAACAATGAATTAATAAATACAGAACAAGCCTTGTTTAACCTCAACTAGGAATGTGCTTGCAGTTCTGAATCTGCACAGATTTGTTAATAATCACAAAAGCACTGTGATTATTAACTGATTTTGGAGTTACGAATATATTTTAGCAATTAGGCAAATTTGCAAATATGGTATCTAGAAGAAATGCGGAAGAAATGCGAAACAAATGTATAACAAAATTCATGGTCTCAATCTTTAACAATAGAAACAACAATGCTTTCCAGATTAAGAACATGTACAAAGTGGAATATATAGGTGAGTTACCCATTATGGAATTTAATGTTCTAATAAATAAAATTTGAAATGTCTTTTAGTCATATGGCAAAACAAATAATCCTCTGGAAAAAGTCTTTTGATACTTACTTTCAATACAAAATGCAATACATAAAGACATACTCATTTTAGATATGAAACAAAAGCATGCAGAAACACATAACATACTACTATGGAGGATGTTTTGTTGCAAACCGTGTAAGACTA